AGGGGAATGGGAAAGAGTGTAATAAAACTTCTGTGACTCTAGTAAAGCTCTGCAAGACACTGACATGCAAAGCTGATCACCAAGGAGGAAAAGAGGAGGTCTGTTCCTCAAGATGGGAAGCACAGAGGCTTATTGTGGAGGACCTGACAAAGGCCCAGCGCTACAGAAGAATGATGAGACGTCTCCAAACAAAAATTGTGGGGAAAGTGGATGGCCACACTGCTGACTTGGGCTGCTCACTAAAGGGCATGTGTAGGAGAGCTGTTTTCAGCCCCCAGTATGACTGATGAAAGCTCTTCTGAACTCACCATTCTGGGGTTAGAAACAGCGCTGTGGCCCATGCAGGGTCTGGGCCAGGGACGACACTCATGCTGAGTAGACAGAAGTCTGTGGAACTATGCAGGAGCAAGCTTCAACAATGACACCATGTAGCAGACTAACAGTAAGACACAGGTAAAGTAGAATAATCATCAGAATGGCACAGCTTTTTCTACAGCTGGTATTTGAAAAACACAGACCCTAGTGACCCTACATAGGACTGGGTGAGGCATCAAGTTTAAGGTTGACTGGGTGGGAATAACTTCAAAACGGATATTGGATTCCTTGCTAATGAATGCAGGTAAGACTTCAAGACATTAATTAAAAGGTTAAAATATGTCAGCCCAAATTTATACTCATTTTGCAAAGCATTCATGCCACCAATATATGATGCCAGAGATTTCTATACAATCAGCTTAAATCTGCTGGGCATACACATAATCCCTCACAAATAATGAAAGCATAGGCCTTTGGTGGTAATTAAAGGTCTGTTTGCCTGGGAATTTCTCTTCAAGCAATTCAGGAACAAGAAGCTTAGGAGCATACCCAGCCCTGAAAGAATAGCCACTTAGGATGCCTCCCAGCCGTTAGCAATGAAACTTAAAGACAGCTGCTTATCCCTGAAGGAGAGGGTCAGCTATTTATTCATTCTTTCAACAATACTGATTGAACACCTCCTAGATGCCAGGAACTGTGCTAGGTGCTGGGAATACCAAGATGAATAAGACATACTCATTACCATTTAGCCAATGAAAAAAGACTTGCAAACAATTCAACAGAGCCCTCTGAGTAAAATGTTGTGCATGAAGGGGGAAGCGGGGATGAGAGAAGCCTAATTCTTCTGGTGTGAAGAGAAGGCGGCAGAGAGAAGAGAAGGCTTTACAGAGAAGGGCAGGGGAGGGCAAAAGTGTTTGAAGTAGAAGAAAACAGACAGACAAAGGAAGAGAAAGCCGGAAGCAGGAGGGCATGAGAGGAGTGGAGAGGGCAGCTCAGGGCTGCTGCTGGAATGCCTGGTGTGGCAGGCAGGCAGGCTGGAGAGGCAGAGGATATGTCCCAGGAGGCTTTGCACAGCTTTAGCAAAGCTTGAAATGAGAACTGAAATGGGAACATTAGAAGCATAAACCTCTATCCCAACATCTACCTAATATTATTTATTTCATATCTTTAAAAGGCTTTCCATTTAGGAAACGGTATCAGTCAGAGTTCTCCAGAGAAACAGAACCAGCAGATGATGAAGTAGATAGACAGACAGACAGACAAACATAGGCATACACATAAATAGAGACTTATTTCAAGGAACGGCTTATGCAACTGTGGATCTGGCAACCAGGTTGGAATTTCTTAGGAAGAAGCTGATATTGAAAACATTCAGGAAGAATTTCTTCTTTCTCTGGGAAACATCAATTTTTGCTTCTGCAGCCTTTCAACAGATTGGGTAAGGCCCACCCACATTATCAAGAAGAAACTACTTTACTTAGTCTTTTTTTTTTTTTTTTTTTTTGAGACAGAGTTTTGCTCTTGTTGCCCAGGCTGGAGTGCAATGGCGCGATCTCAGCTCATCACAACCTCAGTCTCCCATGTTCAAGCAATTCTCCTGCCTCAGCCTCCCGAGTAGCTGGAATTACAGGCATGAACCACCACACTCAGCTAATTTTGTATTTTTAGTAGAGACAGGGTTTCTCCATGTTGTTCAGGCTGGTCTGAAACTCTCGGCCTCCGGTGATCTGTCCCCCTTGGTCTCCCAAGGTTCTGGGATAACAAGCGTGAGCCACCGCGACTGGCCTTACTGAGTCATTTTATTGGAGATGTCAACTATATCTACAAAATACCTTCACAACACCACCTAGATTTGTATTTGATTAAATAACTGGGTACCATAGCCTAGCCAAATTGATACATAAAACTATCATAGAAATCATATTAATAATTTACATTTAAAGATACAATTGTTTTTACATCCAAAAATACAGCTATCAACATATGACACAATATTTTAAAATCTCTATGATCCTGATTTTAGAATTCAACACAGAAATCCTGTAACATTGCCTCCACTTTCCCTAGTTACCTCATCAAGTAGAAATGGTGCTTCTCATCAATATTATCATTGAGAAGTCAACAGATTTATGCATACCTGAATATTTTATCATTTAAACTGTGGGATTTCACAATATTTCTGAAGTTTTAACTCAGTTTCCATGAGTTCATACCTGTGCCTTAATCCATGAGTTTTGTTGCAACACAGAACTATATGCCTTTTTCTTCTGGCTCCTTTTTGAAGTTCCTACACTAGAATTATTTGTGCTATGAAGCATCAACGTTCTGCTTCCATGTTAACAGCTGCAGTCAACAGGTAAATTACATGCATGTCCAACCTAAAAAGTGTTCCTCTAAAACCACAAAGTATTCACTTTAAATTCCTCTTGAGAATAGAAGTCATGTTTATGTTGGATATTTTTACCAAATGACCTATTTTTTCCCATTAAAAATAGACTATTCCTTGAATAGAGCCAAATACTGCAACTAGTGCACCACATATTATACAGTCATCAGCCTATGAGAAATACAAAAAGAAAACCCCATGTTGTTCAATGGTTAACCGTATTTATTACAGATTTTAGATTTACTCATACTCAAAAAGATACTTTTAGACATTGATATGGTTTGGCTCTGTGATTCATCCCACAAAATCTCACCTTGTACTCCCATAATTCCCATGTGTTGTGGGAGGGACCCAGTGAGAGGTAATTGAATCATGGGGGACAGGCCTTTCCCCTGCTGTTCTCATAATAGTGACTAAGTCTCACAAGATCTGATGGTTTTAAAAACAAGAGTTTCCCTGCACAAGCTGTCTTCTCTTGTCTACCACCATGTGATATGTGCCTCTCACCTTCTCCCATGATAGTGGGGCCCTTCCAGCCACATAGAACTGTAAGTCCAATAAACCTCTTTCTTTTGTAAATTGCCCAGTCTTGGGTATGTCTTTATCAGCAGCATGAAAATGGACTAATACAGACATCTTCATAAAATCCTTAATTGAAATGACTCATTACTTGTGAACAGGTGGCCTCCACAGATGAAGGGGATGGGGAACACACAGTAGGACCTCTTGACTATGGTTGTTACTAAATGTCTGTGTCCCAACACCCAGAAATCAGGAAAAGGTCCTGAGTAATCAGAATCTGAACTGTGATCCCGCATCTAAGGGTTAGCAGACAAATGAGGACAAGCTAGAGCTGCTCAGCCAATAGAAAAAGTCAAACCACCAAATCTAGGGAGGAAATTTACTAGAAATATGTACACCAGGGTAAAAAATCAGACAATGTCTACAGGCAGGCACAGGGGAAGCCAGTAGCAACTCCTGAGCTGAAAAGCAGGCCCTCTGGTTATATACATGGCTACCTTTTTACCCAGCTCCTGCAGCTGTGAGCAAGGCCATGCTGGAAGAGCTTAAAATGGGCAGAAGAATAAGCCTACGGGAGGCCTCCAGATAAATACTCATGTCTGTACGTGGTGAACTTTATCTTATTATTACAGTCAAGCTATGAGTATACAATGCAGGAAAAAAACAGGCAGACAGCACTCTTTTAATTAACGTTGCTTTGATAAATTTTCAGTGACCTTAGTTGGCCTAACAATACACATGCAAATCAGCAGCACCCAAAATTAAGAATAGAAGACGGTCATCGGGAAAATGGTAATTCCTACTAATTTGAAGGTTTTTCTTTTTTTTTTTTTTTTTTTTGTCAGCGTAGGTAAATCATCCCTTTCTTCTGTCATTTCCTCTTCACAGTATGATTTTACCTTCTCTGGGCACACATCTTCATGGGCACCAGACAATTGCCCAGGTGCTGCTCCAGGCCCCATCTCTATCCTCTCCTTTGAGTTTTCTCTCTCTTCAAGGCCTAAAGTTCCCATTCTACTGACTTTAAGTGACTTCTTTTAAAAGCCTATCTGGATTTTTCTTTGCCACTTCTCCAAGATACTACTTCCCAGACTCCTGAGCATCCTTCACCACTGCCCACGGTGAGCATGTCCCACAGACCTCTCAGTCCTGATCCATGTTCTACTCATTCTCAACCCTGGTTACATATTAGATTCACCTGAGACACTTTAAAGAGGCACTATTGCCTAGCCCGCTTCCTAAGAGGTTCTGACTTACTTAAGCTGATGAAAAGCAAATGCATCAGTCTTTTTTTTAAACCTCCCGGTGATGCTAACACACGGTCAGACTGGGGAGTCATTGACATGGCTAAAGCTTCTACACACAGCCCCAGGTAGTCAGGAAGACAATTTGGGGTGTGAGCCACCACACTGAGCCACAAAGGGTCTCAGAAGTCACTACAAAGGACCACTGGAAAGCAGACTATGCAATAGGAATCATGAGCACTGTAAGAATCATAAGCGCTAAAATGACATAAGCAAGTACCTTTGGATAGATAGGAATGATCAAGACTGGAGCTCATGAAAAACAAAACATTTACACTCTCCTGACTTCCAACAAATGGCTGCATTTATTCATTCAGTTGAGTGTTCACTAGATTAATAGTCAATCTCATTAAGAAGAACCGTGAGCTTCCTGCCATCAGGAGGCATCTAGAGTGTGCTGAGGTGATCAGCTTTCCACTACATAAATTTCCTCTGCAAGCTCAAGAAAAAATGATGAAACTATCAAAGAACAATCTGTTTCAGAATCATTTATTTAAAAAGCACACAGCATATGATGACATAATTGTATCTTTGGTGATTAACACAACCAGAATTTATTTAAATTAGAGACCTCCTGGCTGCAACAAGCTGTCATCATAAGGTGATGTTCTTGGCACACATTGCATTCAAAGTGGAGCATAAGTAAAAATAATTCCACACAAACTACTTTTGTTCACTTTGGAGTCAGCTTTCTGAAAAAAAAAAAAAACAGTAAAACTTGAATTATGAGTACAGATTAGCTAAAATACAGTTTAATATTACTTTAGGTTATTTAGGAACTGGGGGGAAGTCTGTTAACTAATGGCTGCATCATATTCCCGAATGACACCTGAGAACTGGAAAGTAAAATGCAAGAAATGTGTTTTAAATCCACAGATGCAAATAAACCCACTTGTGACGAAGGGTAACAGGATTTCATTGATTAAAGGGTGTTATAAAAAATAAACTGCATTAAGTTTAAAGAAGTGAAAAAATACCTCTGCATGAAAAGTAGAGGTAAAGAAAAATTGCAATGTGTATTGATTTTAATAAAATAAGATACCGTGTAATACTTGAAGAGCTCATCAAAAATACACACACAAAAATCCTTGCTTTCACCAATTCCTACTAAAGTTTTAGGCATCAGCCAATAACATGACATACAATCTCTCTACTTCTTGTCATCTCATAAACATAGTAATATCCAGCCATTCTGAGCTGCCCTTGCTATGTTATATCTCTGAGGTTATTGTACAATTGCTGTTTCCTATGTTCGGAATACCTTCCTTTATCATTTTCAGCAGTCGACCCTTGCTTCTCTTTTAAAATAAAGCTCCAGTATCACTTCCTCTTCTTTCCACCTTTCCCCTGCTTTCTAAAGCTGAAATGGATTTCTACCTCTTCTAAACCATAGTTAATGCAGGTACCTAATAGAATTATTTTGGTTAAATACATGTCATTCTCTTCAAATCAAATTTGGATCATTACTCAATGAGAAAGGGGTTGGTCTCAACATAAAATTATATTATTCTCCATTAGCATATTTGCCTTTTACTTATTTCTTTCTTCTTTTAAAAAGCTTTTTAACCAGGAAAGTTTAAAATTTTCGTTCATCTATAAAAGGCATTAAAGATTGGAAGGAAAACGTCACCTGATATTCCATCACTCAGAACAACTGCTACAATTTCCTTCCAGTATATTTTCTGTACTTTTTTTAAATAAAGAAGTCAAGATATGTATCAGGATAAAATGCGGCAGAAGATTTAGAGAGATGATATTAATAGATAATTAGGTAAATAGATCATAATTTACAAAAATAAAATTATTTACAAACAAAACAACTGATAGTCCATATATCTCAATAAATTGGTAACACAAAGATACAGAAAGGAATTTTACTGGTAGGATCTCCTTACTCAAAGAAGCAGGAGGTACTTAAAGGAGAGTCAAATAATATCATTCCGACATATATCATGGCCAAACAAACAATAATGGCTGACCACAAAGACAAAAACACAGATGGTTTCCATGCCAAATATAGATGATATAAAAGAGAAGCTCTAAAGTAAGGGGTAGGTTGTTCTAGAATTACTTTCTTTCTTTCCCCCCCACTGGTCAAAAACAAGACACGGCCTAGTTTCATTCTCAAAACCCCTGACGACTTCAGGATCAAGCTATTGCATATTGCTCACCATGAGCCAATGCAGAGACAAACCCAAGCAGAGGAACTGTGCCAAGGGCATGTCCAGAGCCCCAGGACAGAATGGGCAGACTCTAGGGACAAGATGAATCATGATGCAACTGATTCAACCAATATATCCTGCAAATAGTGAAAGGCACTGCAATAGCTAAAGATCAAAGAGGACAACTGCAACACCTTGAAGAAAATGCTACAATCAAAGAAAAAAAAAACCCAGTATGGTATGGATTAGGTAAAGCGTCCATGTGCAAATGGCATCAGAATCGACATTTAAAAGATGAGTCGATATAGCTAAGAAAAGAGAGGTGGGAACATTTCAGGTAGAAGAAACAATACATACAAAAATAAGGAGGCAAGAGAGATGATGATGAACTCAAGGCACTTAAAATATGCTGAAACTGAAGTCAAAATTAAGGGGTTAGTTGATGGAAAACTAGGGGGTTAGAGTGATGAGCGACAAAAAATAGAAATGTAGGCGGGAACTGATCCTCAAGAGCCAAGTACAAGGAAGAGAGTTTACTCCAGAATCTAAAGGGAATTTTCAATGATTCTAAGCTTGGATGCCAAAACAAAAATACAGTTTGTGTTTTATTAACACTCAGCTGACAACAACATGGAGATTCATAAGGTTACGATGAGATGAAATTAGATCAGTTAGTAAGCTACTGCAGAGAATCAAGGAAAGGCAAGGGCCTGACTAACGAACTAGCAGCAGTGATGAAGAGGTGGGGACACAGTTAAAGTCTTTTAAGGGATGAGAACCGATAGAATTTGTAGGATGAGGTGGTAAGAAAAAGGATGGGGTTAAAAGAAATTCAGTATCTCTGCTTCAACAATTGGTGAACCAGTGGTGCTGCCATGCACCAAATTAGCAAATACAGGAAGTGAGGAAGGTTTGAAGAGAGGAGATACATTCAATTTTGGAAAAGTTGAGTTTTACATGCCTGTGGAACACAAGGACATGCCCAGTAAGTAGTTGATATACTAGTCTGCACTGGGATCGAAAGAAAGATACAAGAATATTCAGGCTAGAAGTGCAGTTTGCAGTTTGTAGTTTTAAAAGTAGGTGAAATTCCACAGAGAGAAGAAAAGGAAATTGAGGCCACAATCTGAGATTGAGAGAAAGATACAAGAATATTCAGGCTAGAAGTGCAGTTTGCAGTTTGTAGTTTTAATAGTAGGTGAAATTCCACAGAGAGAAGAAAAGGAAATTGAGGCCATAATCCCAGGAAAACCAACCTCAAAGGAATTGGAAGAAGAAAAAGAACCCACGCTGTTTAAAGAGAAGGCAGCTTCAGAGAAATGAGAACAAATTAGGAGAGTATTGTAAAGCGATATAACAAAGAATACAAGAAAACATAATATAATGAGAAATTCAAGAAATGAAATGATTGGCAGCGTGAAATGCTCAAATAAAGTGAGATAATTAAGAATTGAAATATATCTGTTAAATTTAACATGTACATGATTATTGACTTCAGCAAGAACATTTTCAGTGATTGAGAAGAGAAAAATACTAATGTGCAGTCAGCTGGGTCATATAGAGGAAGAAAGGAGATAAAGACCATAACTGTAGCCACTTATTTTAATGTGAAGCTTGGCTGGAAAGGGACAGATACACCAATGACTAGGCAACATAGGCTTAAGCAATGAGAAAAACACAATCGTGTTTCTAGTAGATGAAATTGATCCAGAAGGCACTTTATCATGTATGAGGGCTAGTTTTGTAAAGACTTGATTTCTCTACTTGACTCTAAGTTTCTTGAGTGCAGAGTCACTAGCCCAGGCATAGTACACATAGTAGCTGTTCCATAAATGCTATTTAATCAAAGAGTAAATGAATGAGTCGATCAATCAGAAAGAATATGAAAAATATGACTATGATGAATGCAAACAGGCTTGAAAATTGTAGAAACAGCCTGATGTCACAAAATAAAACTACGGTGGGAACATGCACATCTGGTTTTTCATTCCAATAATAGCAAAAATAACAAGTTATATGACTTCAGTAAAAAAAAAAACACCTATAATATTTGAGTCTTAGATTCTTTATCTGCAAATAAGAAAGTCAGAGTTGATCAGGAATGGCATAGACGGTTTTGACTCATCCTCAACTCTGATAGGTTGGTCATAGCTTCCTGAAACACACTGCAGAGAATTCTGCAGCTCTGTCTTTATTCAATAGAGAATCTTAAAGAATTGGCAATGTCTGCCATGTATGCAGAAGGAGGAACAGATGATGCATATGCTACATATTTGCCAATCCTGAAATAGTTCATGTATACAGCTCTTAAAGATAAAAAATTATATATGATTTACGGTCTTTTTCTGAAAATTCATTCATAATTAAGTTTTTCAAGATATTCTACAGTAAACTGGATTTAAAACTAAAGAGATATTTTATTCACAGCCTGTAACTTTAAAAAAAAAAAAACAAAAAAAACCACCAAACTAGAATGTCTAGAATAGAGTCCACATACAGGAAATGTGGAAGTAGTAGCATTTTTATAGGAAACAGTAGTGTTTGTTCTATTAGCTAAATGCACAGAAGAATAATGTGTTCTCCCACCCTCACTCCTTCTACTTCTACTAATACTTATGTGGTGACTTTTCAGCATCCCTGATGCTCAGTGAGATTCTTTTCTCTCAGAAGTTTGTCTTGATGGAGGTTGGTGGTAAGTATGATTAACCTCACTGACTAGATGGAGAAAACAAAGCACAGAGACAATAAATGACTTTTTCAGAGGCTACTGAGCAAACTAGAATGGATGTGGAAATCTTTCTTTGGCCAAGCAGATGGAAGGCTTGATTTAGGCATTTCCTCAGCCGTCCCAGAGCGGTACAGGAAAAGGTTCTCTTGAGATCTGGGTTCAGTACCCCTGAGTTTTACCATTCGTCCAATACCAAGCTAAAATACAGTCCTAACTGCAGAGGCAAGTGCCTTAATTTTACTGTAGATCTAGTTATAAAATAGTTTTATTTCCATAGCCATTCACTCATTGCTGGTTGCCATTATGAACAGGCACAAGATGGATATAAAGGAGTAAAAAGTTGTCATTTTTCTTTAAAATAAAAATTTAAACTTATTTAAATTTGGTACAAATGATTAGTGGAACAGGTAAAGAAACAGATGAAGTAAACTATCCCTTTTAAATTCAATTTAGTGGATGTGCTCATCAAATGTCAACAGATCTGTGGAAGTATAAACTGTTGAGAAGATTTTACTCATTTTACAAAAAGTGTCAGAATGAAAAATAAGCAAACACAGTTACAGATGAAAATAAACAAACATACAAAGGGTTTATTTGGTCTGTAGAAGCCAGGTCAGACACTGGTGGCTCTTTTGCTGTGTTATTCAATTGGTTCAGTGCAGGACATGAGCAACTTTTAAAAGCCCTATTCCACAATGACTGCATACTACTTTTCCAGAATATGAAAACAAAAAGTTTTGTGGATATAATTCTTGCCATCTGTCCACAAAGAAAACAAAGTTGTTTTCCGAAAAGTTGATTTGAAAATTGTACATTTCAAAATGATCATGAAAGGAGTAAAATAATGTTTCTTGTGGAAGAAATGTTATGTAAATTCATAATTGGAAGGTGATAAATATTCTTCATTAGAAATAGTTGAAAAATTAAAAATTCAGTCTGTGCTGTTTACCCTTCACTACTATATGTTAATTTTTAATATTAAAATTATGTTTCCTATCTCCATGTCAACTCACATTAAAATACAGTGACACAGTGAATGAGTCTTTAATTGAATGTGTCAATGCTCTCAAACCACTGTGCAGTAAAGCAAGAAGAGTCTAGGTTCTAAGTGAATTTTTATTTCTCTTCTAAAAAAGTAGATAATGTAAACCTGAGACTAATTTTTCCCCTCTTTTGACGCTGGTCACAAATAAATGTTTCTTAAAAGGGAATGTGTTAATTGGACAAATACACATGGAGTTATTTTTAACACTGTGGGCCCTGGAGCCAAGGAGGCTAGGTTCAAATCCTTGCCCCACATCTTACCAACCCTGGGAAATAAGAGAAAGTTAATTTTTAATTTCAATTTTCTTAGTTTTACAGTAGAAATTGGTGACAGTTTATATATAAGGTTATTTTAAGAACTAAGTGAGATAATTTATTATAAAGCACTTAAACTTTGTACCTGACCCCTAGTAAGTTGAGTATTGTTGTTTGTTTTTAAAATTATACCATCATCAACTTTACTGATGGACAGCCAAATAATCATTCATCCTGACTGCCATCTGAAGGATGATCTCTTATGAATGCAATGTTAGTAGTATAATAGCAATAAAAGAGAAAAGAGATTCAAAAATAATAAAGTACTTTGTAAACTGTTTTACATAGGAAATATATGTATACATTTCCATGAAAGAAACTAAGCTCAAAAATGAGATAAGAAATGTTCAATGTACTATTCACTATAATTGGAATTCATTTTTTATTCCACATGTGAAACACTCAATATCTGTAACTCTGTGGTATCAATTATTAATTCAGATTATGTAATCTATAGAAGAATTTTCCCGTAATTCAAATGTATGCTCCCAGATATGTAATTTTGTTTAATTTTTTATTAAAAATTGACAAATTATATTTGTATACATTTATGGAGTAGAAAGTGATGTTATGAATTTATGTATACAATACCTTTTCGTTAAATATAGTTACTATACTGTGCAATAGATCTCAAAAATTTATTTCTCCTGTTTAACTGAACCTTAATGCTGTTTGTACCAATAGGCACCCAGATATATAACTGTCATTCAAAGTAACAACAATATGTAATTGTCACTCAAAGCAAAAGACCAACTGTAACAGCTAAAATATATTTTTTAATTGGAGTTCAATTTTTTAAAACTTTAGATTCCATCCCTTATATTTGTGTGTGACCTCAAGCAAGTTACTCAGCCTTGTTGAAAACTGTGCCTGCTTTCATATATTTAAATAGAAATAATAGACAAGGTTTTCGGTTCACCAAGCTCCTCTTTCAGACTAGAGCTGGGAAGTCATTATGCCATCCTAACAGCAAGTAAACAAAGGTGAACAAGCCAAGAAATCAACAACTTTTCTTGGATTTGTCAGAGAAGTGCAAGCAGCTGCCCCAAAAACTGGAAAGACAGACAGGTGAATACAGAAAATTGCCACTTAATAGAGAAGAAACCTTTAAGTAGAAACCTCTAAGGGAACCAGTGCCAGGACAGAAAAACCTGAACTGTAATTGATAAATTGCTAGAGGCTCAGTGTGGACACATCTGAGAGTTAAAATCTCCACAGGGACCAAGTAGTAGGAAAGTCCCAAAATTTAGAAGTTTTACTTCCTGAAACTTTACCAGGGTCTCAGAGTGAAAATTGCTTTAAAATGCCCTTATACTTTCAGCAGGGGAAAACACTCCTTTTGGAATATGACAGAGCACTCTGCTCTTCACGAGACCTGCCCTCAAGAGAAACTGTTTTATGATGCCTAACCTTATTGGGATTTGATCAGAGCCTATCTGACCCAGGGAAGGCAAATACCCAACTCTAGACCCCTCCACCCATCCTGTCCCACCCAGGGGCCAGGAGGTTGGTAAAGGAGACTAAAAAGCACTTTTCAACTTCACAGTCCAAGGGCTAAAAACACTGAGACCTAACCATAGGACTATAGAACATTTCCACTCTTCCCACACCTTACCACCACATTAGTAAAGGTCGATTTACTGCAGTTTCTCTTATCCAATGCATGATTACCAGGTATATTAAAAAGCAAAAAAACACACTTTGAAGAAATGAAAAAGCATCAGAATCAGAGCCAAATATGTCAGGAATGTTGGAATTATCAAACAAGAAATTTTCTTTAAGAACTCTGATTAATATGCTAAAGATTCTAATAGAGAAAGTAGACAACATGCAAGAATGAATGTGTAATGTAAGCAGAGAGATAGAAATAATTTTAAAATTCTAGAGATCAAAAACAGTGTAACAGAAATAAAGACTCCCTGTGATAAGCTCCTTAGTAAACTAGGAACACCTGAGGCAAGACTCTCTGGCCTTGAGGCTATGTCAATAGAAACTTACCATATTGAAAATCAAAGGGAAAAAAGACTGGAAAAAAAATCGAACAGAACATCCAAAATCTATGGAGCAGCTATAAAAGGTATAATGTAAGCTTAGTGGGACTACTAGAAAGAGAAAGAGAGAAAGGAACAGAAGAAATATATGAAGCAATAATGATGGAGAATTTTCCCAAATTAATGTCAGACACCAAACCACAGATCCAGGAAGCTCAGAAAACACCAAGCAGGATCAATGCCAAAAAGCTACACTTAAGCATATCATATTCAGACTACAGAAAATACATTTTTTAAAAATCTTGAAAGAACCCAGAGGAAAAAATTACCTTACCTACAGAGGTGTAAAGATAAGAATTACATCTAACTTCTCCTCAGAAGCCATACAGCAAGAAGAGAGTGGAGTGAAATGTTAAAAGCATTGCGAGAGAAAAAAATAACACCAATCTAGAATTCTGTACCCTGCAAAGTTATTCTTCAAAAGTGAATGAGAATAAAGACATTCACAGACGAACAAAAATTGAGGGAATTTGTTGCCAGTAGACCTGCCTTGCAAGAAATGTTAAAAGTTGTTCTTCAGACAGAAGAGAAAGTACATAGGTCAGAACTCAGAGTCACAAAAAGGAAAAGTGTTGGAGAAGGAAAATAAGTTAAGGAAAAATGGAGACAATAATACCAGTCACAGGGACTTTGTGGGACTTAAATACGTTTAAATAAATAAGGTAATTTACTAACTCACCAAGCAAGCCAATGGTAGGTGCTCAATAAATATTTATGACAGAAAAAAAAAAACCCTAATTACCAGTTGACTGAAATATTTAAGCCTGATATAATTTTGATTGATCAGATTGTGTATGCTGAAGATATTTGTTAAAAAAATAAAAGGAAGGAGAAATGGAGAGAGAAAAAAGAAGAATGGAGAGATGAAGGGAGGGAGGAAACCCAAAGCTGTAATTTAAATGACCTTATATTCCTGTTATAGTTAATATACTAATTAATCATTCTACTTTATAGCAACAATATTTACACTCAGTTCCAAATAAGTTTTCCAGGATAGCTTCCATTTAACAGCAGCTGTTGAAATAGTAGTAACGAGTGATCATTTACAAACTGTTAACTCCATATCTTGCTTATAATGACCACTGCTCCTCTCTCTTGCTTTCCAGAAGTGCCAGTTTCACTCTTCTTATTAGAGTTTATACTGTAAAGTTTTAATTCAGGGGTTTCTTGGTTCACAATTAAATTGCGATAATGAACATTACATCGTTCTCTTCAACTATGACATGAAAGTTAGTGAGAAAAAAACAGGAACAAAATTCAATTATCTATATGTTTTAAAAGTGCTTGAGGGGAAAATCTAGTGAAGACTAGATAAAAAGTCAAAGATGAGATATTGTAGCTGCTCAAGAGAAAAGAAAAATGATGGTACTGATTCAGCCATATGACTTTCCCACAAAGAATACAGGTTTAACATTTGTCACCTCATAGTTGTGTGGATTCCAGTAGCAGGTGCTGGGATCCATCAGCATGCCAAGTAACAGGACTGCATCCATGAGAAGCCAATCACAGTAAATGATGAAATCTGCCCCCAAAAGGCTAAACATTAAAAAGGAATGAGAAGAACTGAAAAAATAATAGAGGAAAAATATGAAGCAAAGTTAATGAGAGACAGATTGCCACCAACATCATCAAAAGAAAGTCAGGAATTACACATATAAGTAGAAAGATAACATAGGAAACATGTACAACCTACTAAACGCAATGGTTAGAAATTGAACCTACAAAGATATACCTCAAAGTTCAGCAGGGCATTCTGTGGTGCTTCTTGCTCCCCAGAGTAATGGTACTGATTAACATCTTCTTCCCTCAGACTTCATTACAATATCATGTAATGAAGGACCTTAATAGTTAACTGGCAAAATGTGTTGTCCGTAAGTTACAGGAAAAATTCCTCTAAAAAAAAGATATGGAGTTATGCTGATAAATGTGCAGAAGAAAGAAGACCTCATAAAATAATATAAAGCAAGTGATCATAAAAATGCCTCTCTCCTTAACTCTATAAAATAAAAATTTTCCTTTGTATTAGTCTATTCTCACACTGCTAATAAAGACATACCCAGGACTGGGTAGTTTATAAAGGAAAGAGGTTTAACTGACATCCAGTTCAGCAGGGCTGGGGAGGCCTCAGGAAACTTACAATCATGGCAGAAGGGGAAGCAAACATGTCCTTCTTCACATGGCAGTGACAAGGAAAAGTACAGAGCAAAGGAGGGAAAAAATCTCCTTATAAAACCATCAGATCTCATGAGAAGTCACTCACTATCAAAAGAACAGCATGGAGGTAACCACCCCCATGACTCAACTATCTCCCACCGGGTCCCTCCCACAACAAGTGGAGATTATGGAAACTATAGTTTAAGATGAGATTTGGGTGGGGACACAACCAAACTATATCATCCGCTTACCCAAAATATTTACAATGCCAACCAAAAAATACAAGGAACCTAAGACCAAAAAAAAAAAAAAAAAAGGTAGAATAGTGGTGTTTGTACTATTTCTGAAACTTTTTGTTTGTACTGTATATTAGGGCTTGGAGGATAGGAGCTCAAATGAAAAAGTATTCAGAAATGGTGAGAGAAAGGTAAGAGAACAAATGGAAGAAAAAGGAGAGGCAGAAATAGTATTACAGAGACAAAGAGAAAGAAAGCCAGAGACAGACATTTAGAGAGATGGATAGAGGTAGAGAGAGAGAGAGAATGAAAGAATGACTTACTGAGGGGAAAAAAAAAAGAACTGCAAGAAATCACCTAACTCACTTCTCCACATTCAGGCCTCTTCATACCTACATGGGTTAGACAGAAGAAAATATATCTTTTTTGATCTATAGATGAACAGATTTGGGGAGTTTAGTGAATAAACTATTCAAGATAGCCGATTCCCTTAATGTGGGAAATGTTCCTTACAGCAAGCATAAATCCTACATGCTTTGCTGTGCTTTCTTCTCACTATTAATGGAGGATAGTCTAAGTCTATCCTCTAGGAAATAATTTTTCTTTCTTATATCTCCCTTCAGGCTTTTTCTTCTCCTGGTTGAATAATTGTTCCTTTCCCCGTTCTTCATTATTCTAATTTTTAAACTTTTAATTATCTTTATGGGTTTCCTGAGTATCCTCCACAAATTCCCCCAAGCCCACCTCAAAGTGATCTAATAACAAGAACCACATGAAAGTGTATAGATCAGTTTATGAGGCTTGTAGAAAATAAAGCAGTTACATAGGCCCTATTTCCTTTGACCATAACAATCTTCCCTTAATATAGACATTACAGTTACCCTTGCTGTATCGAAAAGAAAAAGGCAGGCAGGGATTAAACACCTTAGATATTGCTAGACAGAGAGAGGAGGACAGCTCAGGAACACAAGTGCAGAGGCAGCCATTCCGTCTGGTGTAGGGAGGAGAGTAGAAGAACGTAAGACAGAAACAGAAAATGACAGCTGGTCTCTGAGGGGGTTTGCATGCCATGCAAGAATTTTTTTCAGCTGATCCATTGGGCAATGGATGTTTTAAGTAATCTAGTGAAAGACCAGCCTTGTTTTAATGGACAGCTGCTCTTCCCACAGTATGTTGTATGATGCGGAACAGGAGGTGGGAGAGGCTTATGCCCAAAAAGCTATAAGGATATCAGGAGTCCCCTGCAGTAAACCAGGTGAGAGGTGATGAGTCCCAAACTAAGGCAAAAACTATAAAGACTGAAGATTTGGACCCACATTCAGGGAACATTAATGGACAGAGGAAGGAGAGTCCATGAAAGAGACTGCAAGTAGCCAAAGAAGGAGAAAGAGCAGATCAGGAGAGTGACATCAAGGCAAATAGCACTGCCATGGTCTCAGTGTTTGTGTCACACTTCAAGGCACCATCACCAACCTATTATGTTGATTAGGTTTCAACATATGAATATGTTTAAGCATATGTATTATACATATAATAACATATGTATTAAGCATATGTTCAACATATTCATATGTTGAAATCTAATCTCTAATTTGGTGGGATTAGGAGGTGGAGCCTTTGGAATCTAATTCAGAGTTCTCCTGAATGGGATTAGTGCTCGTCTAAAAGAGTCCCCAGAGAGCTGCCTTTTCCTTTTACTATGTAAGGATGCAGCAAGAAGACACCTTCTAGGAACCAGAAGATGGTCCTCAACAGGCACTGAATCTGCAGGTACCTTGACCTTGAACTTCACACCACCAGAACTGTGAGAAATAAATTTCTATTGTTTATAATCCGCCCAGTGTGTCATAATTTATTACAGCAAAATACTGCAATGGACCAAGACAAGCACCAAACTGATGGTTGGATGAGCAGTAGCACAGAGGCTGCAAAGACACTCCAGACCTGGTGTTTAGCAGGTCACCAATAATGGCTCTAAAGTGAGTACTTTTATTAAGCACCGGAGATGCAGAAGAAAACCTGTAGTGCATTGAGAAGTAAATACTGAGTGATAGAAACTATTATTTCTAGAAGTTTTATGGAGATGATGAGAAATGAATTAAAGCAATAACTTGAGGAAAATTTAAGAGGCAGAAGAGTTTTGCTTTGGGGGATGTTATAGACAAAAGAGAATAAGCACAATATGAGCAAAGTATCATCAAGCATTATATTTTATGGGTGAAAACATATCATCACTTGGCAATGAGTAAGCTTTAGCTAAAAATAGAATGAATCTGGCATTAAATATTCCCATGATATGAAGTATTAGGCATTAACGTGTGCAGTAAATCTGAGAGACAATTAGGATGTTTAATGGAATTTATTGGTCTCTGCATACATAGATATCTATATATATTCCAAACTCTCTGCTAGTACTCTCCATAAAAAAAGACCAGTATTCCAAATGAAAAGAATAAATCTCAATTCTTTTATATATATATAATGTCACTTTGTATCACTGTCCCACATATTAATAAATAACAGAATGCTAGTGATTCCCATCTGGCACGTTTATGGGGCATATTAATAACCCATGTTTTTAGTTTTTAGCTTCAGCATTACTTTCAGTACACTACATAATATAAACATACCTAGAACCATGTCTAGCCCATTATAGAGGATAAATGAGTTGTATTAAACTTTGTCATTATTTTTGGAGTCCTGCTATGTCTGATTCCTTTGCTCAAAAAGAATCATTCTAATTTTAATACAATTTGAAGTACCCCCAAAGGCTTTTTTTAGTCTGGTATTACTGTTCCTCTGCAATCTGTAACTAGCATTCCCATTAAAGCAATATCAGGTCATCATTCTTAATGCCCCCACCACCACATGGCTTGCTCAGCTACCAATTTGCTATAGCTTCTAGGCTCATTTTAGCCTTTTTACTAATATCCCACTTGTTTTGGTGGGCTTCTCAAAGTGTTCCTCCATCTACATATGGCAAAATAATATTCTGTTTCTTATTCTGTTTATTTCTCATGATCCTCCTCATTAGTAGCATTTGATATTGAAATTCTAAACTTTAGATGTTGAAGTCATGGTTTATGCAGTTCTAAGCCAGGACTCCACCCAACTTGCTGACGCATTCAGGCTTCATCTAGAATATTTCTAGTTTTATCACTTTATTATATCAGGTTCTTTATATTTTATCTGAAAACAAGGTTGTACTGCTAAACCAAAAGTTTGAAAAACAAAACAAAAAGTTTTAAAGTTTTAGACACCCTACTATATCACTATTTTTTTTAAAAAAAGTAAGTAACTAAACTTCCACATATACCCAAGTATTTTCACCATCTTACAGAAAAGTGTTAAAAGTAGAGTGTTACTATTAATTTCTTCAAGCAAGTTCATTGTCGCATACCATTTAAGGCATGAAAATCAAAACAGCACAGGGATCTGCAAAGGGCAAAGGTCACCTGCCAGAAATCTATTCAAGTATTTTCATGGAATAATTGTTTTTTAAAAAAGAAAAAAAGAAAAATGCTGATACCAAGAAAAGGCTGAGGTTGCAAAGCACAGAGGTTGCTAGTTTGTTAAAGAATAATTAGCTGTTGTTCTACTTCAGATCACTTCAGAAAAGTGGAAATAACTTCAGGTTGACTTTTTTTTTTTTTTAAGATAGTCTGAGGTTGGCTTTGTTGGTAATCAAATAATAACAGCAGACTTCTAAGCAGATGGATAAGAACCAGATGTCAAAAGCAAATTAACATATCATGAGACTGCTCCATACCCTGAACAGTTGAAAGACATCCCATAAGATTATGAGCTGGCCCTTTGCCAGACATACCTGAGGCAAGGGACATCTGCCATGAGATCAAGAAATGACACGAGGGAACCACTATAAGGAAACAAGAAAAGATAAACGTATCTATTCTATCACTCCTTTGAAAGCAGTATCTCTCAGATATATGTTCAATATTACTTGGAGAAGCTGAATAAGACCTACTCCTTTCAGAATTTTTTTTTTTTTTTTTTTTGAGATGGAGTCTCACTCTGTCGCCCAGGCTGGAGTGCAGTGATGCGATCTCGGTTCACTGCAAGCTCCACCTCCTAGGTTCACACCATTCTCCTGCCTCAGCCTCCCGAGTAGCTGGAACTGTAGGCGCCTGCCACCACGCCCGGCTAATTTTTTGTATTTTTAGTAGAGACAAAGTTTCACCATGTTAGCCAGGATGGTCTGGATCTCATGACCTTGTGATCTGCCTGCCTTGGCCTCCCAAACTGCTGGGATTACAGGCGTGAGGCACTGCACCCAGCCATCCTTTCAGAAATTTTAAGTCAAAACAAGAACAGCTAA